CCTCACCAAAACACAAAAAAAAACAAAAAAAAAACACCCAAGGTCAGGAACACGTTGAGAGAAAAAGATTAAATAAATTCTAATACGTCAAAGTAAGATCTCAGAATCGTTTTTTACTCATATTTACAGATGGAAGTACACCTTTAACTCCAACAGACCTAACTCCTTCTGCCCCTCGTTCCTACCGTTAGCTGCCAGGATGGGACTGTCCCCGTCAGGGATAGAGTCGCCATCATTCTGCCCCCGCTCACTTCCTCGCTCCCGGCTCGGAGGGGCCTCGCTCTCTGTGAGGAGTTTGTGTGCTCTACCTGCCCAGGTGAGTGAACCAGCCCAGGAGGAGGAGGAGCCTCCCTGGGAAGCACTGCGCTGGGAAAAGCCGGAGCATATCTGTGGGCTGAGTCCCGCTTGTCTGTGTGACTTAGAGGGGCGTGCGGTGGATTTCCCATTTTATTGATTCTACTGGTGCGCTGAGGTTAGCTGGAGCCACGGCAGAAGCCTGAATAGTTACACGGTAACCTGGACCCGAGCAATGATTCCCCAGGAGAACAGAGGGAGCTAAGACGCTGGGCGACAGGGCGGGTTGTGGACTTACGGTGGAGTAGATGGAGGAGGTGCTGGAGACCAGGGAGAGGGACGAGCCGTGAACTGCGGAGATAAAAGCAGAGATTGATGATCACAAACAGACCTCCCACAGCTTTCCCACACAAACCACCGGCTCTTTCTCTTTTCTCCTCCTGCTGCCCCGCCCACCCGGTGGAGGTAAAAACCCTCCATGTCCCGCTGCCAGCCTGTGAGTCACCCTGCTAACGAGTCAGCTGCTGATCCCACATCACACACACACACACACACACACGGGGAAGCGACGCCACCAAGCGCCGGTTCCCGCCCCCGGAGGAGATCGGAAAGGATGGACGGCGGGACGTGACCGGCCACGCCGAGAGGCCAGCCGACCCCCGGAGAACGGGGTTCCATGGTTCTGCTCCAGGTTTCTGCCTCTTAAAAGGACATTTTTCCCTCCCTGTGTCTCCTAGTGCTGCTCTTGGTGGGAATTGTTGTTCTTCTGTAAATGACTCTGAGCTGCTCTGTTTGGAAAGAGCTGTGAGATAACTGTCGTTGTGATGTGGCGCTACAGAAATAAAATTGAATTGAAAAAATAGAATCCCGCAGAAGGAGAGGAGCACTCGCTTTTATCTCAGCTCGGTCTAGACGGTGAGGTGTGCCGAGGAGGCTGTTTACTTTCACAGCTGTCTGGATTAGATCGCGGCTGTCAGACTGTGTGGGTCAGAGGCGATAAGATCTTCTCACAGGAATGATTAGTTCCTGTTTTAAGAGTCAAAACAAGCAGCCACTTCCCCCTTCTGGGTCAGAAATCAATCTTATTATATTTTTTTCTCAAAGGGTAATGCCGATATGTCGGTTTATCTAATAAGAATAGGAAATATGAACAGGTCAGTTTTGCTGTTGGAAACTTGAAACTTCGCTGGTTTAAATATTGCTAAATCACAGATTCAAACAGGTTTTTAAATGACTCCTAAGAGATAAGATTGTTTCCTTTTTTTAACGTGTTAAACCACTGTCCATGCTGACAATGAGTAGAAAGTACAAGCTAATTCTAACGATGTTTTCTTAAGAGAAGTGGAAAGTGATGAAGGACAGATGATTGTGTGACTGACGTCCCCGTGAAGGACAGGCCATAGACGGGCGGTGTGACTTATGACCTGTCAATCATACAATAGCTGCCGGGTAACGCTACACTTCAGAGACACACACACATGTAGACAAAACCCGCAATCAACACAAAGAGACATAAGCCCCTGCTTTTCTTTTTTTTTTGTGGTTTCTTGTGTGTCACCATGTCTCACTCACACCTTTCACTGTGATCCCTGTAATTATCTCCACTGAAAGGAAGACAGAGCAAGGAAGGTGGGAAAAACGAAGAGCAAGATAAGTTACATGTGTCGTAATGGTAAGTTTTCTGTCTAATATTTCACAATGGGTAGATAGATAGATAGATAGATAGATAGATAGATAGATAGATAGATAG